TATTGTACAGTTTTGGTACTATATATTTAATTTAAAAATAATTAAATATTCTTTGTAAATTTGAAAGATTATTCTCCTTTCTCATCATTGACATCGTCAACGATATTTTTTGACTAGTCTATTTTTACAGCGGCATATATTTTACGAATGAACGCGTAAGCCGCAAAGAAACCTATTGTACCTGTTAATAACCAGAACGTTAGCACCATTAATGCTGTATAGCCAAAATATAAAAGTATCGGGACCAGTTCTGTTATTTCTAATTTTGTCATAAAATAGAAGACTGAATAAGCTAGGACATATACAGCTGATCCCCCGCTAACAATGAAGCTTCTCCACCACCATCTGTAATCCTAATATGGAGAAACGACAATGTATATACATATTGTTAAACTTCTTCCGAATACAGCTATTAAAGCACATTTCTTACCTCTCCGCATAATTGAAAGTACACCATAACTATGGATATCTGTGAGCAAGATGTGACAAGAATGCAAAATACAAGAAACAGGAATCCAAAGAGATAATAGAACTGATTCTCCCATAATGCAGTCAGGATAAAAAATAATTCTATAAAGACTGCTCCAAATGGTAGGATTCCGGCCATTAATGTACTGTAAAGATATTAATATATTGTTATTTGAATACAATATATCAGGAGTTTAGATTTACGAACTTTATTAGCTTACCACAATATTGGATTCATATACCACAATTGATCAGGAACTTGTCTAGCAATTTGATTTGTTCTAACCGGATGTGTGAAAGGCTGTTTACGATAACCAAAATAGTATCCTAAATACACCAAAGGAAGTGATATGCCAAACCAGAGACACAACAATGCTAACATCGTTGTGAATGGTACTGCGCCAGAACTGTGTTTCCCCCATATAAAGAAATTTAGAAAGAAACAAGTGGTGAATACAATGCCAGGATACAGAGTCGCTGTCTGTAAAAGTAACAGAATAATTTAATAGTACTCTATATCGCGGTATTTCATGGTACATTTTCCATTCTTACCAATAATGCTGTCCTCCTCCACTTTCTCCCACGCATAGTTTTATAAAGTCGCGCAGAGAAATATCCAGCTATTAAACCGGAAGATACGTATAAAAATATCGCGTTAGTTCCAAGTGCACCCCTACTGGCAGGGGACAGCATGCCCAACATAGCAAAGACTAAAAAGTACATGAAAATAAAATACAAAATATTGAAAATAGTTAACTATTTCTCATGTAGAAACCTGAATCTTACATATTGTTATCAAGGCCATAAAAAATATTTGTATTCCACTGCCTATTACAGCAGCAAATAATCGAGGATGTGGCGGAGGTCGAAATACATCTCCATGGACCAATTTCCAGCCAGTTTCTTCGATTGTCTCGTCCAAACCTGCCAAACTATCGCTCTCGCCAGCATTGTAACGTGCAATGTCTCTTCTCAGAGTTCGAACTATGATCATTGTCAAAATTCCTGCACAATTTTATGAAAAAATGATTTACTACACGAGTCTATGAAAGAAATAAGAATTAAATGCGAATGATTTAATATAATCACCAGAAAGGAAAAGAACAACAATAAGAGAATTAATGATCGAGAACCAATGAATTTCGACATCGCTCATTCCTAGATATACATCCCATCTACTAGCCCAACTTATGTCAGATAGCTTCCATTCAACAGAATACAAGAACCAAAGCTTGGTTCCCTTAGGATTCACAAATTGCCGATTTGCATCTGATGGCAATATACAAGTATTTCCATCGAATTTCAATTGATTTGTATCGATACTCCGAGCTTTCACATCAAACCCAACTACTCTATACGCATTCCTATGACATGAAAATAAATTTTAATAATCTCGCATACTTTCTGTTTCTGCAATAATTCAATCAATACTGACTTTCCATATTCATGATAACTTAATTCTAGCTTCAGATAATTATTAATATAAAATTGATCATTTACAACACCACCCAAACGATATCCTTGATATACAATCACATTGTTTGTGTTTTTGTCAAACATCTTTGTAGCTGCTGGCAAGTTATCTATTAATCTGGTAAAGGTAATGAAATTAGCTTATTAGTACTGCGCAGATTTAAAGGATAATGTAGCTTTATGTTTTCTTACAAATGCACTGTGTAATCATGTTGGATGCGCTCTATTACTTGCTGCGATTCTTCCTCGGTCCATGTCATACTACTATTTGGTCCATGGCATAATAATTTGCAGCTTACATTTTCTGCCATGGTTACTTCGTACGGAGTATTCACAATTCTGTGTAAATACGAAGCAACTTAGATTTTGTAGCAACAATAATATTATCAATGCGTCTTACCTATCGCCGCGTAATACTTCTCCTAAATTTTCGGATTTATAAACAAAAACACTTTTTGGTCTGCATAATGGAATAGAATAATATTCATATGGTAACTGTGTATGGGTGCTGGTCATTTTAACTGCCTTGACATCAATTTTTTGCCCCTTTGTAAACTCCACAGGAGCAACACCGGGCACATAGAAGCCATTTGTTTCAATTAATAAGGATATTATTACAAATATAGCACTACACCTTAATCTTCCCTGTTAACAGAAAGAAAACGGTCCTCGTAACCATATTAAACAACATTGTGTTCTGATAGTACGTTTGTAACGTCAACCGGTATCCATTAAAAAACGATTTATTTATAAATACATAAAAAAGCATACATCAACACGATACAGACACGGAAGATATACGATTATATAAAATAGAATTGTATTTCATGGATTTGAACGAAGTGGAGATCGTAACGTTGCTCATATTCATAGCAATTTTATGATAACTGCGATAAACAATGTTATTACGTTCTGTCAAGAGCTAATAAAATTGTACTTTACTAAAGCTACCGTTGTGGACTTAGAAAATATTACAAAACGCCACGTCGATTCAATGATAGTTTTAATATCGCGATACTTCATTTTTAGTACCTTTTCGAAACGAATGATCTATCAAAATGCTTACCATTCTATAATAGTATTTTCGTCAAAGGCGCGCCACGCCGTACTAGAATCTTTCAGAATACAACTCACAGAGTTCCCACTCTGTTCACGTCAAAAATGAAATTTACTTTAACACGAAGTTTGCTTGGAAACATTCGCCAGTCAAGAAACAACAAGATTGGTTTTTTCGGAAATTCCCTAGAATATTTATTGTACGTACACATGTGTATATGTATGTACGTACGTTCGTATGTATTATGTACTATGAACAGAATGTTATGCCAGTTCCACAATGGCGCCAGAATTGTTTGCGAACAACAACGCGAAGCCCAGATTAATCCGTGGTCAAATGTATGCAAATACATTGTACATAACTTACTCTATTCCATTTGGTTCAAAGATAAACATGTTTTTATATATATACTAATTTCTATTAGTTTTATTATCAGCTAAAGCGAAAACTTTACATAACCATTCATAAGGTAGCTTAAAAAAGTTCAAAGTTTGAATAAATAGGTTGTAGAAATTGTTATGTATTAATGGATTCATAACAAATACAAAAATAAATATAACATACAAAACACGCTTTTATATAAATGTGATTCATACTATTCATTTAGGTTTCATTAAATGGTTACTACATATCCATTATATTTGAAGTAATATTTATGTACCGCGTAAAAATTATAATTAATTTAATTATAAAACAACGAAATAATAATAAATTCAAATCTTGTTCGAAACGTTGATGACCAGACAAAAAAATACTTATCGTGATCTTCATTCTTGAAATTCCCGCAATTTTTTATTCCGCAAACGAAAAGGAAGTGGATCTTTTATAACAGAGGATTGTTATGAAATTGTCATTTTATGCATTTAAAAAGTATTCTATAAAATCGTAACGTATTAAAACATTCATTATCGACAGTTTACGAATGCTTTTCCTATAGAGAATAGTAACATTTTTGTCACATAATAGTCAGTGTTTTGATCAGGCTTTTCCGAGCGAAAAAATATACCCCCGAAAAGGAAAATATCGTCCCACGTGGGGACTCGTTTAATTACAAGTTACGTTATTTAGATATGCATCTGTTCCGTTAATTTTTATTTCAGAACAATGGTGCAGGTGAGTAGAAACTTTTGAGCATATTATATATACGGATTTCCGTGGGAATCGCCGAAATCAGTGCATTTTTCTATCGGGTCTATTGGGAATTTTTGATTGTTTTTTTTCCGCTGTCATCCATTAGTAAATAGGAAAGATGGCAGCAGATTATTGCGCTTTTTTCCAGTGCATCCGCGGATCCGACATTTTTCTTAAAATTAAGCCTTTCCGTGAATTTTCATACGAAACTCGTACGAAAACATTGGTTACGATCCAGTTTTACGCATGGAATTCAACGCGTGCTTCATTTTTCTCCATGAATTGCAGTTAACGTCGAAATAAATGAAATATCAAAGAATTTTTATGTGCCGGACTTGTGTCAAATACGGTGTACGAGTGCACAGAAATATCGAGTGACTTTGTTAAACGTAATCCCGGTCTACACGAGGCGAAAGTTTTAATGTTTTGTGAATGAAGAGTCGACTGTGAACTAATTTTTTTTAAATGTTTCATTATGTTTAATTAAAATATGACAAAAGATGAGGGTATAAAATTTTCATTTTTTTATTATCATAAATATACATGTGTTGCCACTGTTGTAGTTGATGTTAAATATATTTTTGTTCTTAAGATATGAACTTTTACAGGCAATTGATGAGATGGAACAAAGGGATCTCCCACAGGCATTCCGCCTACTCGGGGAGATGAATGCCAATGTTCTACAAGTAAACCAACTTGTAGACAATATGCTGGTTCGTGTAAAAAATGGAGAGATTTCTACAGACAAGGGTCTTAGTTTCTTAGAAATGAAATATCACATGTTACTTTCCTATTTAATTAATTTGACTTACATAGTTTTAAGAAAATGTTCAGGAGAACGTATAGAAGGAGATCCATCAATTGATCGTTTAATTGAAATCAGAACTGTCCTAGAGAAAATCCGACCAATAGATCAGAAACTTAAATATCAAATAGATAAACTTGTTAAGACTGCTGTAACTGGTACTACTAACAGTGATGACCCAAGTAATTTTAAAGCAAATCCTGATGCACTTATTGGGAAAATCGAGAGCAATGACGATGAATCCGATAGCGATCAAGACGGTGAAATGGATGGTTTCAAATCGACACAGTCAAGGAAGTCTAATATTTATATACCACCGAAACTTGCTGCAGTACACTATGGTTAGTTTATTATTATTTCTTATATCATAATATGTGACAACACTGTTATATGAGATGAACAAAAATATTGTTGTTATTATTATAGACGGAGATGAGACTGTTGCAGAGAAAATGCGTAAAGCAGGTGAAAGAGCTCGCAGACGTGCAGTCTCGGGTGCGGTTTTGAGAGAATTGAAAGAGGAATATTTAGATGCCCCTATCGAAGATACTCATGGCCTCAGTGAGAAACAAATCAGTATGGGTCGTGAAAATAAACGGAAGATAGAATACGAAGAAACATACATGACACGTTTGCCAGTAACTAAACAAGAAAAACACAGACGTCGCATGATGACTACTGTCGGTACACTTGGAGAAGAAATTACATCTTTCGGAGAGTCATCCGCTGTGTCTGCTAAGAAAAGGAAAACTCAGAAAAAGGGTAAAGCTAAAAGAAGTAAGTTTTCATTGCATTAAAAATTAATCGATTATATAAGTTCTCAATAAACAATATTTATAACATAATTGTTGTTCAGGTTTCAAGAAAAAACGGCATCACTAAGTCAGCTTTATAACAGTTCGAAAAGCTGAATTTCGTACAGCATTAATAATTAAGGTAAAATGCAAAAAAAATTTACTTCGATTCTTCTTGACAAAAGCAGATGCCATTAATACTCGTTAATAAGTTAAGCTAAATAACTCATAACATCTAGTAATTAAAAATAAAAAGCAACCGTCGACGGTGAAGTAAAATAGCACGATGGTAATTTATTACTGCATAAGACATACTAATGGTCGTGTAATTGATAATTATAGTTAATAATGATTTTAATCTTTAATTGTTGTCTGAAATCAATTTTTATCTATGGAGTTGAAGTATTCCGTGAATTGCAAGAAAATATTCCAATATATGAGAAAATAATGTCAAGGTACATACGAGCTTAACTTATATAAAAAAAAAAAAAAAGAAAATTACGTGTAACCGTGACACAATTAATCAAATAATGGATTTCGGCTCCAAGATTTAAAATTGTAAGTTAAACGTAAAAGTTGAAGGCAGAAGACTTTTCTGCTTTATTTTGAGATATTCTCCAGCTATAGAAGAGAGAGCGAGAGAGAGAGAGAGAGAGAGAGAAAAAAAAGAACCGGTAACATAGCAGGAGGGATGATATTGAATTAATTGTTACAGAAGCGTAAAAATCACAAGACATTCAGTGCAAGCATTAGAAAAATTCAAACTTTAATAAGAGACAAGTGGTTCTAGAAATTGCAAAGCGTTCTGCAACTTCTGAGAATAATGTTCATCGTGCGATATCGCATGTCTTAGGATTTTCTCGCTATTTTAGAGTAGTGAAGTAGTTAATAGTTTTACTATTATATGTATATTTCGTTTGTGTTTTTCCCCTGGTGAACTGTTGAGGCTATTATATCTCGATGTGAGTCATATTTTATGTTAAGTTTCACCTTTTTTTGAAGATGAAGAAAAGAAAAACAATGTGTTCGTGCATTGCATTTGTTGTTTTCACTTTGAGAATTAATTTCACTTAAGTCGTTAACTTATATTAATGGTAATATAAGGATAACACGAATGTGTCAAAATTCAAAATTGATGTCGTCAATTTCTCGAATACTATATTTTTATGTTTACTGCGTTTAGTTTCTTAGGGAGGGGGTATGTGTGATATTGTAAGAAAAACTTATATACGAAGACTAGAGCGACCATCACTTCTGCAATAGCATTAATGGTGTTTGTACAATCAAATTGCAGGAAGGTATCCATCTCTTGCGCTTAAATAGGTTCCATTTTTTAAATGTTAGATATAAAGATTGGGTATCTGTTTACTTGGATACCCGAAGAAGCAATGTTTCCTTTTAAAGTGAAGGGAAGGGTAATGTTAAATGCATTTAAACACAGATCGTATATGGATATTTGTATCCGTTGCTTGTTCCTGCAGAAGTGATCCGCATTACCTTAAAAAAAAGTACTAATTCGCTATATGCTAACCAAGGGCTCAACCATCCATAGATGTTATATTTTTTACAAAAGTGTTCATAGATTGAGCCAACTTGGTAATGCATGATGTTACATGTGCCCTCTCTTTTTCAATCTGTGAAGATGATTAAAATGTGATAAATTATTCATGAAATAATAGTTAATGAAACTAACAAAATAGCACAATTGCTGGGCATTATTTACAAGTGCTAGCAAGCCTAATGTCAGCAGCCTTGTCGTATTTGGTAAATGAAGTTGGAATACTGAATAGCGGGAAGATTTTGACACGATTAATGTCAAAGTAACTCTTTTTTAAATGGATGTTTCATGCGCGTTTAACATACGGCATGTTCTAAGAAAAGTAATAATTACAGAGATATCAATAAAGCAGGTTTCAAAATTTGCCCGACATTTGGTTTTCTCATACTTTATAAATAGATGATAATTTTTGAAAACACACTTACAACTGGTGCAACTGTAAGTCCAAAATACTGATTCGCGTGTGTGTGCGCGCGCTCGCGCGTGTATGTATATTTATATATACATAGAAATGTATTTCTTCGTTTGTATACATTATAAGCTATTTATAAATAGCGACGAGAAGAAGATATCATGTTGCTTGCAACAATATAGAATATTACAGATACTAACGAACAGGATGAATTATGGTTGTATATGTTTGTTAAGTACAAAGTTTTCTACCACACACACACACACACACCGATATATATATATATATATATATATATATATATATATATATATGCTTTTATATATTTTGGACTTACGGTGAAAGTGTATGGGTGTGAAGAATATTCATACGAGACACATATCCGCACACAACATATAGCAGCAAAGTAATAGGATTACATTGAAAACACTACCTCAAATCAATAGAAATATGGATTTACAATAATAGAACTGCATCAGTTACGTTTACAATGTTGGTGTTGTCGTTTATTTATACATTTCACTGAACAACAGCCTTTCTGTTGCGAGATATAATATCGGACATATATATTATGCCTTATGGAGAGACGCGTCTAGGATTTGTTATCTCTGAGCCTGCTTAGCAGGTGTGAATCTTTTAATAATGTACAAAGGAAAGCACAAAGCATGTAAACGTCACTGTGGGCAGTGAAGTTTTAAAGTAGTCCTTCAAATCCAACAACGCTGCCGAATACAAAAAACTAAAAAGAAGTAACAAGATATCTTTGCAGCAAGAATAAAAAAACGAGATAAGGATGGTTTATTGACTACATTCATAGTCTGAAGAATGTAATGTTTTATTTATATCGGTGAATTTTCTATAATTTATGTACTATGACAATTCAATGTGTGTGAACGAGCGAAAGAGACAGAGCGAAAATGAGAAAAAAAGAGAGAATTTACCTGTATATTACAAATGGTTATTATAAACGAATTATTATTATTATTAATTATCATTATGATTATTATGATTATTATTACATTATCATTATGATCATCATCATCATCATCATCATGTAGAATGCTTCTTACTGACTGAATAAAATGTTTTCAATGTCAATTATTGATTTACTTAAGGAGTTCTTCTAGTCCAAACTTAAAAAAGGACAAGAAACCTTTTCAATACCAATACAGATTTAGAAGCACGAACACGCCTTATTAAACGATACAATTAAAAAATGTTTAATTTCTCATAATTATTAAGCAATGATTTTCTTCAGTGTAATATATATCATAATTTTTTCCGATCTCGCATAAAAATCCTACCCACCATATCACTAAGGGTGGATCGGTTTTGGAGGTCAAGTAAGTACAGTCGAAATATTCTTTCTACTAAAAAAGTAAAAAACACTTTTCAATCAGTCGTTGATTAGAAGCCTTTCTTAAATATATATCTTAATATTTATCTTGTGCATTTGTTCGAAAAGTATGAGTAAAATTAAAAAATTCAGTTCACATATGTATAATGCTCTACCACAGACAAATGTGTGTGCGTGTGTGTGTACATTTTTCGTTTCGCGGTCCTCCTGTCTAAATCTCGATGGCTAGTAATTTTTAAAGGCTGTGTTGGCAGCACCGTCTTAAATGTAATGTAAGGCACTCTCGAATCCGCTCGAGTCTACCTTCGCAACGTATATCAACGACACAGACACATCTCACCGATTTCTTTCGGACGGTCTGCCTCTGCCTGTCGTTGATCCGTGGCACGGCCGACGTAGTGGTAAGTTATTTATCAACGATAGAAATCGGACTGTCAACAATCAACGTTAAGTATGATAACACGTGAAACACCAGGTGTCAAGTATTTGATTGGCATGACATATATCTTTTTGCTCCCACAATTCAGATTTGATGTCAATGCTAGACGTGCTAATTGTTTGAACTCAAGCAATTCATGCTCACGACTCACGACAGTTGATTCGTGTCATTCTCCTCGCGACCTAAAACGATTCAAGGCTCGATTATTCATCTTAATTATTCTTTAGCATTCTTTCGTTCACACTTTTCGGTCTTCCGCCCTTCTTCTCCCCACTCCGGTTTTCTCCTTTCTTTTGCTTGTTGTCTCTCTTTGTCACTCATGAATTTTCCCTCTTCTTCCAACGTTCCGTAAAAGATGTCGAAAGTGCGAGGGGCGCTCACATGGGTACCGTATAAATTATTTTTATCACTACGAGGCTACGGTAAAATGACCTGCCATTGTTAAAAGACGAAGGTCGCACGACCCTCGGCAAGTATACCGAATATGTATCGTTTGAATTCCCGTTTCTACACGAAATTTTCGGGTTTCCTCGTCTTCGTTCGTCATAGGTCATTATTTCGTTCGCAAACCACCCTCTGTTCTGCAGTTATTTTTAAATCACCCGCGGCGCAGAACTATACATCGAGATTTGGAGATTGCTTTTTTTCAATGTTAAAGAAGCATTCTTAAAACGAATACATACGAACAAACTTATTTACTAATTAAGCAGACAAAGCCGCGAATTGTTTTCATTTCGGTCTATACGATACAAGAAATTTGTGTGGATTTCAATATCTTCTGCAAGTGAGTAAAAAAAGGACAATTTTGTACTGTAAGTACGCGTTCTTCGGAAGAATATTAATTTCAAAATTACTACATGTTTTCAAGAACGTAAACAACATCTGTTCAAATATATTGGTTCAGCAAACAATAGCGCTTCTGCTTCATTGTTGCATATCAGATTGTTGTAAAAAGTTTTCGCAGCGTTCGAGGAGAAATCTGTTAGGAAAACGCTTACTTGTCATTTTATTGCTTATAATACATTCCCAAACGGCACGTTTCGCACGTAGTAGACTTTCTAACTACGTGAAAGTAGATTTATTTGAAATTTACGATTTCAGACCTGGTATAATTTTAGTAGTATGTATCCCATTCATTTTTAATAAGATAATAATAGTGATTAATTATATATGTATATATTTTGTTTTTTAAGATTTTACACAATGGCCGCTACGCAACTGAACAGGGCTCGAACTATAAAGAAAATCGAAAAACCTCGGCCGCTGAAGCGGAATATGACTAGTAAGTTCTAATTTATATCTACGACGTACATTTATTGTTATATTAAATTGAACAATTGTGTTTAATAGTGGAGGACATAGTTTCCTTAATCGACAATGTTGCAACGCGACTAACCAATGTCTTCCATGACCAAACGCTACAAATGAGTGTAGTTACAATGTGTAATCATCTGAAACTCTATGCCCATCAATTAGAAGCTATTTACAAAGGTAAATAGAATTTAATTAAATTATGAACACCGTAACAGGTTTCTTAATACCAGCTTGTTGTACAGATCAGCTGGATAGAGCTTTTGTGGCAATTAGGAATGGAAGTCAGGACGAAAAATTAGATCTCACGACTAGGGTTCACCTGCTGGAACTAATAGAACTAAGAGCTAAGCAATGGCGCCACACCGATTCCATGGATGTGTATTATACGCAAAAACTATCACATTTGGACAATGTATGTTATCTTACTTTTGTTTTTCATAATATAAAATAAATATGTTTTAGAAATATTCACATAATATCAATAGGCAGAAGCAGTTCCCGACACACCTACAAGCGTATTATTGTCACCTCTGGCAGTGTCTTCACCTATTGCAGCACCTATCTTAGGCCCTGGTGAAGTCATAAAGAATAGTGGCAAATTCGTTAAACCAACACGTATTCCTGGAAAGAACTACTGCAAAGATGAAGTTGTTATACGTAACAGCGATTCTGGCAAAGGTAAAGACAATGTAATATTTCTAGTAGAACATAAATACTACTATTAATATAGTAGAGAGATCATATAAATCTTTGTAAATCGTAGTACGTGGCATATTTTCTTGGTGTCTTAAAGGTTTAATTTAATTTCATATTATCACGCACTATATTTCTAGTTAAAATTTTTTGTGTTTCACGTGTCACGTTTTTCATTTCTATTATAAGTAGTAAGTATTATTTTCCTATTTCTAAATTATTTGCATAAAAATATAGTGATGGGAATAAAAGGGCGGCGGGTTCACATGATCGAAGAACTCAGCCAGACAATCATCTCCTTCCAGCGAGGTAAACAAATAATTTGCAGATGGCTTGATAGCATTATGCTCATGCATTTCGAAAATAACTAATTGTTTAACTTTTCAAATGTCTGTTACATATCCTAATATTCTCATTACAACCAAAATTACATTTTACAAATCATAAGATTCTATAGTTGAATTGCATAAACTGCAAAAAAAGAGTGAAAATGTACTTCATTAAACAGTATACTTATTTAATATATATTTATGTATGTATGTATGTATATGTATATATATTTGTGTATGTG